AAAAAAAAAAAAAAAAAAAAAAAAAGGAAGGTTGAAAAGGTCAACAATTCCAGGACCAGCTATGCAGCTCCCCAAAGCCCTGCAGCCCCCGAGACGTGACCTCACTGTGATTTGTACCGGGCTTGAGTTGGGTCTTCAAGACTTTTCTTGGCTCCTATATTCTTGAAGCTAATCCCAATTCACTTGTTCCAAAATGTATTTTTTACCTATAGCCAAACCTGATAGGGTCCCACCTCCTCTCTGCCTTGGGAACACTTTTCAACAACCTACTTTTATTGTTTTTAAAAGACATATGGCCCTGGGGTGGGTAGCTCAGTTGGTTAGGGCATTGTCCCAACACACCCAGGTTGTGGGTCTGATCCCCGGTCAGGACACATACAAGAATCAATGAATGAATGCATAAGTAAGTGGAACAACACATTGATGTTTCTTTCTCTCTTCCCCGCCCCCTTCTCTCTCTCTAAAATAAACAAATAAAAAATCCAAATAAAAAAAAATACTTATTTCTGGGGTGGGGGACGGGTGGAGGTGGGCAAAGACGGTGGAAATGGGGGATATCTGTAATAGCGTTAACAATAAAAATAAATAAAATAAAAAGACATAGTTTCTACTATGTGGAACCAGTAAGTGAGACCTCCTGAAGAAAAAATAACCAGGATGTATAACTATAAACATCGAACGGCAGAGAACACATGGAAACTTCACTGGTTGGTTGAAGCTGCTTGCCTTTGGGCATAAACTAAGCTGCACAATACATATATTTTTCCAAACACACAATATTAAAAAGAAAGAAAAATCATGCTCTTATTTTTTTGTGCAAGAAATTTTCTATGGATTTTTCCAATCCTAACTGTCAGCAATTTATGACATTGAAATTGATAAATACCTACCTGGAAATCATGGATGAACGTTAGGAAGTAAAAAATAAAACCGAAGGCCACTGTCCATTCACAGATTGCACTCACCACGTGATATGCATAATCCTAACAGCAATCAGAGAGAGAGAGAAATTTAGTCTAAATCGATCCACTTTAGAGGATGTACTGAAATAATAATCAGGTCCGAGCGGAGGACAGAGCTGTCCAGGGAGAATCAATCGACCCCTTGAGGAAATACAGCAGGCAAGGCCGTGCAGGTGAGCCTCATGAGAATGTGGGTGCAATTATTCCAGAAGCGCTTTCTGGCTCTTGCACACTCTAGCTTTAAGACTTGTCTAAAGCCCTAGCCAGGGTTTGCTCAGTGGTTAGAGCACCGGCCCACAGACTGAAGGGTCCTGGGTTCGATTCTAGCCAAGAGCACGCACCTCAGCTGCAGGCTCGATTCCCCAGCCCCAGTCAGGGCTTGTGAGGGAGGCAACCAATCTCACACTGACGTTTCTCTCTCTCTCCCTTCCACTCTCTCTGAAAAATAATGGAAAAAATATCCTCAGGTGAGGGTTGGAAAAAAAAAAAAAAGACTTGTCTACATAGTTTCAAAAGCAGAAGTAGAGCCATAGGATGGCTAAGCCCGGAATGCAAATGTGGACTCAGCAGAAGACAGAGCTTTCCAGGACTGGCTCGCTGGAGGCTGGGACTCCCCCCGTTGAAAGGCATTCAGCTTCCCGCAGTGTTTCCAAAGGTGGAGCGCATGCACCTAACGGAGACTGGCTCACTGTCACCACTGGGCTGTGTGTTCCCGCAGCTACAGAAAGTGTCCAGAAAATAGTTCTGCTTGACGTTATATGTAAACACAGCTAGAAATCAAATGCTGCTGTGACATCCTCACCGGCTGTCTTACTGGGGCAAGAAGGAGGGAATGGACAGAAAGAACAAGCATGGCTTTAACTGGGGTCCCAAGGTCAGCTGCCTACGGAGGCCAGGAGATTAATAAAAATAAATGAAACTGAGAGTTGCAGAAAGAGAGGGAAGTGGGGAGCCCATGCTTATCAGCTCAATTCCATTTTCACCGAATGGGAAAATGTGACACGAGTGTTGCTTTAAAAAGGTAGAAAGAGCCCTTGCGGGTGCGCTGGGCCGCGCGGGCATCGCTCTGGGCACCGGGAGGGTGCTGTTCGGATCGCGGGATGCGGCCAGTCACTGTGTGTCGCTCTCACATTTCTCCTCCACCCTTCCTCTCTCTCTAAAAATCTATTAAAAATCTTTTTTAAAAAAAAGTAAAATCAAAAGTGTGAGAGAGACAGAGAAAGAGAGCAAGAGGGAGATCTCCTGATTTTTAAGAGCTGGAAAAACGTTAAAAGCATTTTTAAGCACCGTCTGAGTGAAACCTAACGTCATCTTTCCGTCACGCACCTGCCGAATGAGGCCTGCGGGCTCCCAGGCCTGGCTTCAAACGGACCTGTTTTGTTTCTTTGCTTTTTTTCTCCTTTGCTTTCTGCTATAGATTACAAGTGTAAATAAACAAATGTGCTGGATTACAAGTCAGTTCTACGGAGACAGGTGTTTTCTGTGATCCAGTTTTCATTTGCAAAGATTAACTGAGGCAGGTCAACTCTCAGGCACCTCTGC